GACATATTTTAAGTATGGAAATATCTGATGCACCACAGGTTCAATAATCAGCTCGTGGTCTTAGGAACACTTTTTTCACTTATTGTTCCTATCAGGACTAGCACTCGTATTACCAATAACTAGTTGATTACTCTTCGAGGCAACGAAATGATTTTTGCATTGCTTGTTATAACAGACATTTCTACACACAAACATAGAAAAAGATTTCTTTTATTATGAAAAAACAACTTCATAAAAAATTAGAAATATTGACTGTACGAAATAGTCCAATGCCATAAGAAACTATAACGTTTTTAGGAGTATTCAACTTAATAAATATAGAAAATCTATCGATTGTAGGTGTTCGAAAAAATTAAACGAGTAGAACTTAATGAACAAGCGAAATAACACTAGATTACGTTCTTTACGGTGCAATATTTGATTTTTCTGTCTATCTAACTAACATTTGTATTCATTTTCACTCTTAAGTTACTCGAGTTGTGAATATTATGACACGTCTCTTATATATAACACATATTCAACTAGAAGATGGATATGAGTGTCTTTTCTCTATATTTCATGCACACCTACACCTATCCTTTTAGATAAGATTAAATAAAATATTTTAAGTGCAGTATTAATTAAATGTATACACAAAATATTTCATTTTAAGTATCCTAAATCTTATCTGACATCAAATAATATTCCTATAAATGTTCAAGATCAAATAAAACAACCTAGTGAGAATGATAGAAAGTTCAAAACCAAAGATTTATTTAACAAAAAAATATATTGTATTAACATTGATTGAGAATGAAATTCAATTATAAAATCGTTTCTTTATACTTGTAGTATAACTATATCAAAAAACAATTGATTTGATTGTATCAGAACAAATTATTTATCAAGGAAAATTGTGTAAGAAAGAAATAAAATAATTCAAATATATATATACAAGCATTGCTTTTCAATGATAAAGTGATATTATATTTTGAATAATTAAACTTGGAGGTATTGAAGATGATAAAGCGTAGAGATGATCTAGGATACTATTTTATATAGATTTCTTATAAACTGGATTGTTTCGTTAAATTATATAAGAAAGAGAAAGTGCAATAAAGTTTCTAAACTGATTCAGTATTACTAAGATATTTTTTTATTCTTCAAACTTGTATATCTATTTTTCAAATAGTATACAAATTAGAAACAGAATTATTCTAATAAAAAAAATGTTTTTCGAAAATATCAAATCTAAAAGCACTAGTTTTCATCAGTTTACCTTTCTACAAATAAGAATAGTTCTCTAACGAAGTAAGGTGTTCACATGTATCCTATCATGTATGATATGCCAGATTATAGAACACATGAACAGCTATTCATCAATCCAATCTACATAAGAAATGTTTATTCAAATATGAACTTTATCGATGATACCATCTTGAGGGTGGGTATGGATCTGTTTTTCCTTACTACATATTTACACCCTCAATATAATTATTTAAAAAATAACCTGCTGACATCTTTAATGATTCAATATTGTCTAATTTAGATTATCTAATCGATAACTATTAAACAGAGAGAATACATAATCATCAAATAAATGACATGAGATCATTTAGAATCGTCTAGTCTTCGTTCTTTCTTTTACGTATTACATAAAATGAAGATTTTCTTCTTCACTTCTTATATTTCAAATAAAAATGCTCTATTATTCGTCTCTCTCATTATGTATCCTATATTTTATTTTTCTTTATTTAACTATATATTATGAATCATTCGTTCTTAATTTTGTGTTTATCCTCCTCGTCATTTTATGTACTTCTTCTTTGTCTTCCATGCGCTTTTCCTATTCCTCTACATTCGTTTGTAAATGTTCGCATTTAATAGAATCGAAATGGTTATAAGAATTACCAATCAAACTATAACTAAAAAATATATAAATATTTATCTATTACATTTTGATTATTCTCATTTTTAATTAAAGAATAAAGAAAATTAAAACTATTGAAATGATATTTAAAAGATCAATGTTAAACATATTATTATTTGCATTTCTCATATTGCATACTGATGGGAGACGTCGATTTAGAATTCGAACAGGTAAGAAAATATTTTAGAATTATAAAAGAAACATTACTTTTATTTCGAATATAGGTTCTAGTAATTCTTCGGATCAATCATTTTCAAATACTACAATAGCACTTCTATGTGTTGCTTTCCTGTTACCTGTTTGTGCATGTCAAATAGGATGCGAACTCTTTAAATCTCATCGACAAGAGAAACGTCGTGAACGTATTGAACGCGAAATAAATAATCTGATTGATATACATATACGTAATGAACTATTACAAATGTCTTCTGTGGATGATCATCTCAATGAAAAAAATTTATCGATGGATGAAATAAATGTAAATAAAGTATAATAAACACTTTGCATATTCTATGATAGTGCTTTTTAATTTTTAGTTATCGACTAACAAATCAAATCAAATTAAATACATTTCGATACCATTATCTGTTCAGTTGTTTAACAATTCATTTGATAAAAATGAATTAGGACGAATCAAAGTTCAAGATTCAATCTGTCCACAACAAACAACAAATAAAGAAGAAGAAGATTTCTCAGTAATTGTTCCCGTTGATAATGTTAAAATACCATCACATATTAATTGATTAATATATTGATGTAAATCTGCATATAATGAAGTTTTCAAGAACAAGACTTTTGTTTTTGTTTGTTTTCAATTTTTATTATTACAAATAAAAATGATGTTGAATTACAATTTTTATTTTAAAATGGTCCCAAAAAACTAAAATTATTCATCAAGTAACGTTTCAGAACTAATCATTGTTCTTATTCTTGGGATCCAAAATTCACTTGCTCCTACAAGACATAACAAGTGCAAATGACTGCTACCCTTTTGTTTCCTTTGTTCTAATAGAAATTGTATGATCTATCTCAAGTTTTGAGTATAGATATGTATTTCAAGATATTGAATTTGAGAATATGAAGCAATGAGCACTCGTAATTATTCTATCTTGACAATGTGGATAAGAGTGTAGACGTAGATCGAAGGAGAGACCCATACCCACATCCTCAAGAATTTCAATTATTTCATTTCGTGAGAAACAAACTCAAGGGTGTACGTATAGGTGAGGATAGGGGTGGTACTTTATAGTTAATTTATCACTTTATTTGTAAGAGGTAAATTTGAAAAAGATTTTTAATCTATTTGTGAAAAATATTCCTGTCGAAGTTTACTTTACTCGGTAAAGTAAAATAAAGATAATGTACCAGCCCTAGGTGTGAGTGTGGGTGTAAGAGAAAAACAGGCTATCGTATACCCACACCCTCAAATATTTTCCCATACTGTTTTCTACGGTTCTTCCCTTCTTTCCTTCACAATGTCACTAAAGTATATTTCAACTGTATCATGTTGATCGTTAGTATATTCCATTATCTCAAATCCATGTTTTCGTATTTCCTATACTATACTGAAGTTTTGAATGAAACTTTCATTTTTGGAAATGCATTTTTCTAAGACAAAGTTTGATATGCTTTATTACTGAGAAGCAATTTCTGTTTTCTATGTAAAACAATAAAATACATTTGTTCGCCAATATCTTTAATTATTCTTGATTACCGACGAATTTGTAAAAGGTTATTTTACGAAAAGTTTATCAAAGAGTTAAAAAAAATTGGCAGTCAAGTAATTAAGAGCAAAACACGTCTTAAGAATGTGTTTTTATCATTCTCACGTTCACATTTCATAAAGTAAAAGAAAAATATAGCACACTGCATAATTGTACATGTCATCGTTGCACAGAGAACACGTTAATCTTCTTTGCATCGTTCCACTTTTATTATGCATACTCGGCAATAAACAATCATTTACAAGTTTCTTAATATATTGTATCAACAATAAGAGAAATAAAATGACGAATAAATCTTAAACAAATAAATAGAGTTCCACATTTATTGCAAACTTTTTATTTCTCTCTTCATAAATACTAAATATAATAAAATGCAGAGAAAGATTGCACGTTCGATTTATGTGGTGCTCTAGTGGAGATCGAACCCGCGACATTTTTGTTTTCAGCAAAATAATCTCCCAATTGATTTACAAAGCGATGTAATCGAAACATTATAGCTTTCACTTTCTTTCAAATGTCTATGCAATATATTATATTTTCTAATTATATTTCTATGATGAAATCACATATTTTATTTTATTTTTCTCATGTTCATAAAGATAAAATATCAACTATGTTTATATAATAATCTGATGTGAAACTTTTTCACAAGAAAAAGAATCATATATTTAGTTACGTTTTACACAGTGCAAAAGTTAATCGATCAACTATGAAAAGCAAAGTAAAAACAGATAAAATAATTAATTCATTTGATTGAAGTACTGTACAAAGTACTCGTAAAACAATTCATTTAATAATTGATTTTTCAAGTGTATTTTGTAAAATACGTTGTCGTTGTAATATGTCGATTGATGATTGAAAATATGCAGAATAATAATGGAAGACAATCAATGAATAACAATTGACTTGTAAATTTTAAAAGATACTCGTATAGTAAAGTTCGTGTAATTGCTCATGGAGGTCGATCAAATAAAGTCATTGTTCATAGAAAGGCAGTGATAATTACGGATAATATAATTAATGGAAGAACTTTTTCTTGATGTTTTGCAAAGTTTCACCTTCATTTTGATTTCTATTTCATCCGTCATTATATATTGTTTTAAAATAAACCAAGTTAATGGATTAAACAATGATCACAATCATTTGAAATATTTCATTTCATTCAATTCTCATTGCTTTACTAGAACTTGTGACGAATCAATATTATGCAATTATTCATCGTGATTCGATTAATTCATCCATCAGATCGTTGTCAATCTATTACATGGAATTTTTCAATGAAATCATTGTTTATATATCTCTCATTCAACGTATTAAATAGTATCGTATGTTATTGTTAATATTGACTTGGTGATATTCTTCACGAGGATCGAGTAACGTCACAAATTGTAGGATTTACTAGTATTTATTCTAAAAGATGAATAATGATAATAAAACTACGGAAATAACAGAAACAAAAACAAACAATAATATGAAAAAACAACTTGAACTAAAAAAACATGAAGAAAAGAAGATGACAAAGAAAGAATTGAGAAAAACACCACCCCCTCTCTCGTATATATGTATATCTATCTATATACAATCAATACAGGGAGAAGTGGCTAATAGTGAGGGATACTAGGGAATGACAGACGGCGTACTCTAGTAATAGACATATCGGTTGTTGTTTTCTTTCGAAATATAGCTCGCCAGTACTGTATACGTCCTTCATCCATTCCATTGTACATCGGAGTACCAGGCAATCCAGCAAACAAACGAAAATATTCTTGTTCTCTTGGTCGAACATAACGTTCAATAAATTGGGTACGAGTGTTGCTCTGAATGTCGAGTGCATGAAGGACATTTCTTGTAATATTTATCTTTTCTTCAACAATCAATTTACCGTTTGCTGTTAAATAATCAATTGATGTATCTGATCCATCTATGTGGCATAAGTCGCACCAAAGAAAATATCCATTTGGACGAAGTACACGAGCAACTTCACTAGCAAATTGTTTAACTGCTATTGGTCCACCATAAGCATGTGTTGCTTCAACACAAATAACAATATCGAGTGACTCATTTGCAAATGGCAAATATTTTGTTGCATCGGCTACTACGAAGGAAAGTCGAGGCTTCATCGAATGACGTTGTCGACATACATCAATAACACCTGAAGAAAGATCAGCTCCCACATAAGAATCAGGTACATAATTATCAACGCACCAAACAGCACCAGCACCTCTACCACAACTCACTTCAAGTACAGTCTGATTTGTAAGTGATACTTGAGCAAGGACCTATATCAAAGAACAACAAATATTTTAGTGATAATTACTATATTTTGAAGATGTGGATTTGCTGTTGATTACAGATTCAATAAAAGCAAATTCTATTTATTGAACGTTCGATGTGCGAAGAAAATACTGAATACTGTATTGTTCAGTTCTGATTACTTACCTCTTTATATAGTTGTTTTGAACAGTAGTTGCTGTCATTGTCAATGTGTTCATCAAAGTCTGCATATCCATAATTCATGAATTGTAATTCATCAACGTTCGAATAAGCATTTGCAATCCATTCATACCAGAATGATAAGCTATCAACATCTTCAGATGATGGCTGTTGTTCAACTTCATTATCACGAAACAATACAAATTGAGATGATGTTACTTGTGTCGTCAAAAGTTCTACGAAAAATTAAGTTAGTATATTAAAAGATGAATTCATTGATATATAATGCTTACAAGCAATTAGTCTAACTTCAAGTAAACTGTAAGTAAGGGCATTTAGTTCGATCTTTTTTTAATTAAACTCGTTTTTTTAGCTTTTGAAGAAAAATAAATTACGTAATCTTATATAAGCCTATCTTATTATACAGATTTTATTCAATATAATAAATGAAGGATCAAAATGAGTCGTTTTATTAACTATAGAGTTTAATGAATGATTGAATGTTAAATTGAACAAAGTGACATTTACTGAATATTAAATAACAACTCAGTAGTATTTCTTTTAATAAATTAGAGAGCGAAAACAAATCACTCTATAAACTGAACTGGACTCGATAAAATTTCGTGAGGGATGATTTAATGCAATCTAACCTTAAATGAAAAACCCCACACCCACCCACCCCCACTCCCCATGTAAATATGAACTTTAACGTAATATTTCTAACTATGCGAAAAATACGTATTGACCTATGATCTGCGTTTGATTAACTGGGACAAAGACAAAACGTACTAGGCATCCCGAACACCTGGTAATTTGTCTAGGTGTTCAGATTCGACTTTTTTTTTGCCATTTTTACCGGGAGTCCGTAAAAAAAGTTTATTAGGCGACTATAATTTTAAAAAAAACAGGGAAATCGAAACGAAGTGGTCGACTATATGTAAATTAATACTGTCAGTAAATCGGGATGGAAATGACCGGGTGTCCGTAAACTCATTTTACCTGTAGATCGTAAATATATTATAATACTTATAGAGAGCACTAATCTTAAGGAGAATGTAAATATTAGAGTGAGGGCGTGGGAAAAAGTATTATGTAACCACTCCCACAAATGGTAAAGCAATGAAAGCTAAGAGTCGTGGTACAACAAATAAACGGATGAAAAAATAACATTCCGTTTCTTTGCACATCTCACTTTTTTTCTATGATAGAAATCCCTATTCTTTATCGACATTAAAGCAAATGTCTCTATTCTTTTCTATGATTTAGTTTTCTATTTTTTGTACTTTGTTTGATTATCTATGCTATTTCTTGTGCTTTTTTCTGAGTTGAAAAAGATGTATTGTATTCATGAGAACATTGTTTTGTTCATTATCTTAAAATACAAGCTACTGAGTCGTTTAAAATCTCTCAAAAAAAGTGCACACACGAACATAGTTACGAAGATCCTGCCTCTTTTCATTACGATCTGCATATTTTCATTGTTACGATCTTCCGGTTACTTTCATCCCGAACACCCTGCTTATTTTTTGAATTTTTGACATTCCGAAGATTATGCATGTTTTCATATGTCGGGAAGTCGGGACGAACATCTCTTCAGGGAAATCGTAAAAAAAAGTTGGTGCGTTTTGTCTCTTTCCCGATTAACTCTTTCAGGACGGGTGGTACACCGTATATACCAGTCTTTTTTCAAAAGAAACATGTTATATATTGACGATGGGAAGTAGTTGTGTACACGTTAGAATATACTTATAGCAGTGATATATATCTTATATGACTTGCGTAATTATGACCTCTTATTTTCTATGCATTAAACTATTATACTATATCTTCTTGATTTATTCTCTTGCATATACAGGTGAGCATCATGTTGTTAAGTGATCCGATCATGTACACAACATATTAATAAATTTAAATAAAAAACAGAATCATTTGATTCTTTAAAATCTACTTCTTTTCAAAAGATAATCCCGTCCTGAAAGGGTTAAGTAGACCAAATGCTATTCGAATGAAATCTCATTTGAACTAAAATAGATTCAAGAAACGCAGCTCAGTTCGCTCTCTATAATAATTAATCGCAATTTGCATTTCATAGTGCGATTCCTAAATAAGTTTTACTGCATAGATTACGAAACTTCTCATACTGTATCTTACGGTATGGTATATTTTGTTTTTTTGTGAAACATGCTCAAGCGTCAAAGTATACAATATAAAGTGTGATCATTTATTAAGAATCACTAGTGATAAGTATGATTTTATCTATGCAATTGACTTACTGGCAGGAAGTCCTTTCCATTGAGTATTTGGTAGTAAGAGATCATTTTTCATTATCAATGTGTAAGGATAAAGTCGATTGTTACCCATTAATTTGCAGCCTGCCATCACTAATGAACTACTCATCAGTACACATGAATTTCCAATTATCACAGGAGCACGTTTTAGAATACGTTGTTCAAAACTGTGACACTAAAAAAATTGTGAAGAACAAAGGCTGTATATAAGAAAACAATAATAAAAGTTTATGAAATACTTGAATATTAGCATGTATATTAAGTCGAACGTTATCTCCAATGGTTATCAAATGATAATCAGTTATGCAGGAAAAATCAGGTAAGATCACCCCTTCACCAATATGCGCTCCTAATGTTCGAAATAACCGAATCAACCATTGTGTATTGCTAAGGAATGGACAAATAAATTGTTGATAATCATGTGTTAGTCTGTCTGATAGCTGTTGAACTAGTTCATTACTTATATATGAATGCCATCGGTTAAGACCACAAATAAGTGCTACATGAATTATAGATCCACCAAAGAGACCACCTGATGAGTAAATGCTCACCAAAAGGCATTTGCCGATGAAATGGAAGTAACATGTACGCCACAGTGAAATAGTTTTAATTTGATCGGTCATATTTGATCTTAGAGGCATTTTGAAGGGCATCACTCGAGCCGGAACCCCCATAAAGACTTCTCCTTGTTTGCTATTTATTTCTCGAGAAATGCGAGTTAAATTACCAACCATTGTCTCAGAAGCAAGACGACTGCCAGGCAAAATTGAACATCCATTCGCAAGATTTGTATGGGCGCCAAACGTTATACGATCAACACGATGGTCGCCTGATAGTGTTATCTCAGTGGGAACTATTAATACTGAACCAAAAGTAGTGACCCCAGTTTCAAGTTCTAGTAGATTTGTTGGACAAGATAGGAAAATTCCAACCTCAGCAAGTTTAACATTATCTTCAATATGAGCACCTAACCAACGAAGAACATGAGGATAAATGTCATCGTAAGCAGACGGTAGCAACCAGGCATGTTGAAAACTGGATGCAATTAATTGGCGAAGCCATAACTTATGTAAATATGACCATGATGCTGTTTGATATATATCACCAGCAGTGCAAGAACCGACTACGAATTTAAGCAGAATAATAGAAATAAAACAACCAGCGATTGACCATAAAATCCAGCAAAAAGCAATACTGATAGGTAGTGGTATTTGTTCAATTGAATGAATTTTGTAGATAAAAATCAAAAGTGTATAATGAATACATATTAACGAGATGAGTACTATAATTTGGTAGATCTTATGCCATGTCGATAATGATCTGTTACTATGTACAATAGAGCCATCCGACGAAATAAGTTTGTGCTCTTCACCATCGAGTATTGTTTTAGATGCAATGAGACCAGTAACCAATGACATTGGTTGAACAATAATATTATCTTTCATATCAACTCCATCGAATAGAATCGATCGTGTGCCGATTGAACAATTAGAACCGATCCTAATTGGATATAATTCAAAAGTGTTGTCATCATTAAAATGAAAACAATTTAGCAATGTTTGATCAGAAATCCAAGTTTCATTACTAATTTCTAACAACCATGGAGCATCAACAATTGTGGTATTAATATGCGCACTAGAACTTATATGAGCACCACAAAGACGAAGATAATAATTATACAATTGTGTACCAAGCATATGTTGTAACCAAAATGTATTATTCTTCCATAGTCGATCTAAAAACCACCATCTATAATAGTTCCATGAAAAGACATCGTCGGCTTTTATGTTTCGTGGTGAAAGTAGACGTGAACACATCACATAGAACAGTAGATGAGATACTGGTAAGATTGGAAAAAGTAATGGATACCATCGATAAATTATCATAAGTGGCCATAACCATTGGCAAAGAACAAGTATAACACCTACAGATTCTATAACAAGTGAAGGTGCAAGATAAACGTATGTTTCCTGCGGCTGATCAACCGTCAAAACTGTCTCTGGTGTTTGGTTCGAAATCAGCAATGGTTCTATTGCTATAGCCAATTGTCGAATAGATGGATTAGTAAATAGAAGACTAATGCTAATACTAGTATGTACCTGTTGTCGTATTAATGTAATTGCACGTACAGCATCTAACGATGTTCCACCGAGCTGACCAAAAGGAACGTCAATAGGTGGAAATTCCATATGGAAAGCTTGACTGAAAATCTGTTGTAATTGCTGTTCAAGAGTAGTAATCGGTACATTACTGTCATAATCAGGACCGAGGGATAAGAAGTCAGGCGGAGGAAGAAGTTTTCGATCTATTTTTCCATTTGGATTCAATGGTAATCTATCAAGTATAATAAATATTGATGGAATCATA